AATTTTTATATGAACACTAAAATGGTCTTTCAAGGACATTGCTTTCTTTTTCTGATTTTTAGCATAATTTTAGAGCAATAACAGTCACATCATTTGATGACATATTGGAATGTGCTAAAAAAGGAAACTTTGACAAAAGGGATTATGGTTAGCCTTTGTAGCAACAGGATTTTAATGTTGGACATAATAATTTGTAAAAAAAGGAATAATATTATCTTCATGGTAATATGCCCTGCTTTTGACATAATGTTTTTGTGCGGCTCAGTTGTGAGACATTATTTCTCAGTTTCCAATTTTCTTCTCAGAAATCATTTTACACCACTACACCAAATACGGAAGCCGTTACATGCAATACGTTAAGAGTGCATGAAGTACAGGTACATATACATCATGCATGTATCAGTATTCTATTTGAAGCATAAATGCATGTTGGTATAAAAGTATTGATAATTATTAAGAGACATTGTCATAAGCAAAAAACATGTCAATTTTGTAATAATAATTTGTGATGAATAGGAAATTAGTAGTTGCTTTAGACAAAATAATAGGTGGCTCAGTAAAGATGATAATACTAGTTTGATTTTTTTATTACTTTAAATGGTACAAATTATCATACAAATTTAGCTTATCTCAGGTAAACGAAATTGATGAAACTGCAATAAATGAGCATGTCTCTCAACTATAGAACTTCAGGCTAAAAAGAACATGGAGCCCCAAGGTAATAAAGTATATTTAATTTTGTTTATTTACCCTAAGTCAAATTTAGATTAAATGTTGATTTTTGACTACACTTGTAATCTTCATTTTGAAAGTAAACTAATTTGCTTACAAAAATTATTTAATCAATATACATAACACAGAAGATTCTGAGCAAAAAAGATTTCTTATTCCCAGTTTTGTAATTAGTCGATATATTCAGACAATATTTTAAACATTGATTCTGATTGTGGATGATATGGCCATTTTTAAGGAAAACAATAAAATAGCAAGTATTAAATTAGTTCAGTTGATTATGTGGCTTTAAAATTGAATTATAGTTAATTACATTCAGTTAACAAAGGGTCCTTGAAGTCAGACAAAACATGCACAAAATTTATAGTAGAAAAAAAATCTATTCATATCTTTTTAAATACAGTATATTTGATGGGTATAGAAAGCGATATCCTTGAAAGACCAATTTTAGTGCACAGTTCATATAGAAATTTGGCCAGAAGGAAGGTATATTTTTAAGAACTTACTGAAAATAATTTTTAAAAATATTTATAGACATTGATTCTACTGATTATAGAAAAGTACAACACCAAGAGACTCTCCATTGTTTTCTGCCTTATTTCTAAGGCACATCATGGTATGATTGTAATTTACTGACAATGATAAATTTAAACAATGATCATCTTTAAAATATAACTAACATTTGTATTAAAAGTACAAATAATGAAGTCAGCCATAAATCTAGATCTGTGCCTGTGAAATTGATTGGCAGAGTAAGACTAAAATGTAAGTTGCAGCATATCTCAGGAGCACTTGTCAGACTCAGTCTCAGAGCTCCATCACCGTTTTTCGGCACTTAGCTCCTGCTCCGGACTCCGTGTCTCCGGCTCCGGTTTTCAGCAATCATCTCCGGCTCCGGGGCTCCGGTTTTTAGCACTCATCTCCGGTTCCGACTCCGGCTCTGGGTTTAAGCAAGACCCCTCAAATATAAGCGCTAGGTACAAGAAACTTCAAAGTAAGAAATCGAGTATTTGAGTCAGGTTCCGTTGTGTTGGCACTCTAGAGATAGCTGGCAGCATTTTCCAGTAGATTAGAATATAGCCTTCAAAATATATGAACAGAATTCTTTAAATCTTACTTGATGAAGAGTTATAGTTGCCCTGGTTCTAGTTTGTGAAGCACTGGAGCAACAGCCTACTGGACTATAGGTACTAAAGACTAGTGTCTACTCAAATATATAAAGGGAACAACTTTCTGTCAGCAAGTTTATTGTGACATGTATTGCTGATTAGTAAAGAAAAAGTTAAGCTTTTTTCTCACATGGCCTTCTTGCTGCCATCAATTGTTGCAGTTAAGTTGATGATGTAATGCCACACCTTTTAATTACATGCATGGGAGGGGCTAGAGCTGCTTGCTGTAGTGCATACTGCTATTCCTGCAGGTATTCAAGAGCAACTGCTACTGCAGGAAGCTATATGTTGAGCAGACTCTCTTCATGCCATTCTTGCTGATAATCAAATGGCTATTGCAGTGAGGCCACTAGTGTTGTTTTAGTTAACAATAACTAAAACTAAAACCTATTTTAGTAAGCTGTTTTCTTTAACTAAACTAAAATTGCACACTTGTAACTAATAGAACTATTGCAGTATAATTAAGAGGTTTGACCACGAATAGCTAGCACTATAGTGTTCATAAGGTCATATAGTTCATTCACTAGTTCTTAATTTTGATAGTTTAATTATCGGAAAGAGTTTGGTGAATTAAACTATATCTAAAACTAAAACTAGAAGCATTGGATGAATAAAACTAAAACTAAAATACAATTTTTCAATAATCAAAACTAAAATTATTACCATTGCATAACTAAAACTAAAACTTAAAATTAAAGAAATCGAAAACGAAAACTAAAACTCTTGTACCATACCTAAAAAAACAACACTAGAAGCCACGCACCATAACAGCTTTAGGGGCGAGGCCGCGCACCGTAGGTGTCACGTTATTATTATTGATATTTTTAGAACAATGGATATCACCAACTGTCACTGGAGACAGACCACCTCCTATTTATTCCTTCACTTTAACATCAATTAATAATTCTAGTGCTATATTATTTGGAGGTGCCACTGCTAATGGAGACAGTAACAATGTATATATTCTTAATTTTACTAATACATCAGTGGTGAGTGTATTATTAGTATAATGTACATTAATAAATAAATGTGTGTATTATTGTGTGGGTGTGACTTATGATAATTAATTTTTATATTATTATTTTTAGAATTGTTCAAAGTTATCTAACCCTGGAGGATCAGTACAATGGCCTAAGGAAAGACATTCTCATTCCAGTGTATTGATTAACACTAGCTCAGGACCACACCTACTAGTGGAGGGTGGAGTTGATACTTATGATATTTGGATATTTGATATCAACAATAAATCATGGAAGCAACTGGTAGGTATTGTTGTGGGTGTGGTTCAAGCATTTTGGGTGGAGTTTCAATAAACAATTGAGAAATGAGCCAAATTTTAACAATACATGTACATGTACAGTACGCGACAAAGAATATCACAAATTATGTTTATTATAATCTTTATAGGTTAATTTACCAATCAATGTCACTGATAGATGTCGGCATTCTTTCTCAGCCTGGAGTGTGACTCCAACCACTAACTGGATAATTGTGTTTGGAGGGCACTCACCACAAAAAGATACAGCAGTTATTGAACTCAGTGGGTATATGTGAATACAGATGTATTGAATATATACAATTTGTACATATTGATAGTGTTGTTCTAGTTCTTTGGAACTAGAACTAAAAGTTCATTTAGTTTCATTATTTTTAGCTAGTTCTAGTTCCAAGAACTAAAACTATAACTAAACTAACAGTTTTCTAGCTATAGAACTATAACTAGAACTAGAACTATAACTAGAACTAGAACTAATATCTAACTCTTCTTTGAACTAGAACTAGAACTATAACTATTATTTTTATGGAACTAATGCTAGAACTATATGCTATTGACTACATAAAATGTTGCCAACTACCTTGATTAGAGCTTAAATCATTGAAAAAAGGGTCAAAATAAAGGAAATAGAACTAAACTAGAACTAGAACTACACTAGAACTATGAAAAATAGGAGCTTAAAACTAGAACTAAAACTATAACTATGTAGAGTACCGTAGATTGGGAAAATTTTGTGTAGATTAATTTTCACTAGCGAAATTTTCGCGTGTTTAATTTTCGCCGGGATGACTAGTGGTGAAAATTAAGCACGGTTAAAAATTAAACCATAGCAGTGCTTCGAGTGACAGGTTTCTTCAGCTTCCTTGAAAAGTATTTCGAGGCAGATGTTGCTCCATGTTGAATGGCATACTTGCCAATCTGTGAACGTTCAGAAGCACTTAACTTCTGATAAGGGCCGCAGTGT